CAGCATGAACCTGCCCCATTAGCACCATGATGCATGCATTGTCAGGGCCCATGCTTTCAGAGAAATCTGTGTCCATGTCCTGATCACTCACGGGACCGCGCTGACGTCGCCTCCTCGCCCGGTATCGCGTTGCCATGTTCTGGTGCTGCATATACTGCTGAATAATGCGTGTGGTGGTTAATGTGCTCCTAATTGCCAAAGTGAGCTGAGCGGGCTCCATGCTTGCCGTGGTATGGCGTCCGCACAGAAAAAAGGCGCGGAACGATTGTCTGCCGTTGCTCTGACGGAGGGAGGGGCGACTGACGACACGGCTTACAGGGTTGGCTTCAGGGAGCTAAAATCAACAAAGGGGGTGCCTGTACATCAAGGAGTATTTCAGGCAGGACTGCACGGAGGGTTCCAATAAGAAATGGTGCACCTAAGTTATCGTTGTTATTGGAACAAGGAGGTTAGCCTGGCCTCTGATTGATACATGGCTAGATTTACCTCGCTGCACCTTCTCAGTGAGTGACTGCAGTGTGACCTAGAGGAATGAGTCCCCTAGACAGGGGAGGAGGCAAATGAGTACAAAACAAATCTGGTCTATTTCTTGTTTTGATCCACTCCATCTATCTTTTACATCTTTGGCTGGCAGCAGACGGTGCAGAAGGACTGCATGCCATCCACATCTCATGGCTGCTCGGCAGAAGATGGTACAGTACGACTGCTAGCCATCCCCATCTCTTGCCTGCCTGGCAGAAGATGGTGCAATACGACTGCTAGCAGTCCGTATCGCCTGCCCGCTCACCATAAGACGGTTCAATAGGACTGACTGCAGGACTAAAGAGAATGACCTGGTCAAGTCACTCCAAATTTAGTCCCTGCGCCCATGTCTGCCCAGGCGCTCCCAGCCGACGCGGCCAGGAGCACCTCGGACACGATGAGGACGACTACCAGTCGTATTGCACCGTCTGCTGCCAGAAGGCAAGGGGTTGCTGCTACTGTGCAGCAAAGCCGTACCGCGTCTGCCAGCACCCAGGAGACATAGGGTGACGGTTACCTGAGCGGGCTCCATGCTTGCCATGGTATGGCGTCTGCACAGGTAACTCAGGAAAAAAGGCACGAAATGATTGTCTGCCCTTGCTTTCACGGGGGGAGGGAGGGAACGGGGGGCTGACGATATGTACCCAGAACCACCCGCGACAATGTTTTAGCCCCATCAGGCATTGGGATCTCAACCCAGAATTCCAATGGGCAGCGGAGACTGCGGGAACTGTGGGATAGCTACCCACAGTGCAACGCTCCGGAAGTCGACGCTTGCCTCGGTACTGTGGAAGCGCTCCACCGAGTTAATGCACTTAATGCACTTAGAGCATTTTCTGTGGGGACACACACACTCGAATTTATAAAACCGATTTCTAAAAAACCGACTTCTATAAATTCGACCTTATTCCGTAGTGTAGACATACCCCTAGTGACAGAGGATGTGGAAAAAGCTAATGTACTCAATGCTTTTTTTGCCTCTGTTTTCACTAACAAGGTCAGCTCCCAGACAGCTGCGCTGGGCATCGCAAAATGGGGAAGAGATGGCCAGCCCTCTGTGGAGATAGAGGTGGTTAGGGACTATTTAGAAAAGCTGGACGTGCACAAGTCCATGGGGCCGGACGAGTTGCATCCGAGAGTGCTGAAGGAATTGGCGGCTGTGATTGCAGAGCCATTGGCCATTATCTTTGAAAACTCGTGGCGAACCGGGGAAGTCCCGGATGACTGGAAAAAGGCTAATGTAGTGCCAATCTTTAAAAAAGGGAAGAAGGAGGATCCTGGGAACTACAGGCCAGTCAGCCTCACCTCAGTCCCTGGAAAAATCATGGAGCAGGTCCTCAACGAATCAATCCTGAAGCACTTGCATGAGAGGAAAGTGATCAGGAACAGCCAGCATGGATTCACCAAGGGAAGGTCATGCCTGACTAATCTAATCGCCTTTTATGATGAGATTACTGGTTCTGTGGATGAAGGGAAAGCAGTGGATGTATTGTTTCTTGACTTTAGCAAAGCTTTTGACACGGTCTCCCACAGTATTCTTGTCAGCAAGTTAAGGAAGTATGGGCTGGAAGAATGCACTATAAGGTGGGTAGAAAGCTGGCTAGATTGTCGGGCTCAACGGGTAGTGATCAATGGCTCCATGTCTAGTTGGCAGCCGGTATCAAGTGGAGTGCCCCAAGGGTCAGTCCTGGGGCCGGTTTTGTTCAATATCTTCATTAATGATCTGGAGGATGGTGTGGATTACACTCTCAGCAAATTTGCGGATGATACTAAACTGGGAGGAGTGGTAGATACGCTGGAGGGTAGGGATAGGATACAGAAGGACCTAGACAAATTGGAGGATTGGGCCAAAAGAAATTTGATGAGGTTCAATAAGGATAAGTGCAGGGTCCTGCACTTAGGACGGAAGAACCCAATGCACAGCTACAGACTAGGGACCGAATGGCTAGGCAGCAGTTCTGCGGAAAAGGACCTAGGGGTGACAGTGGACGAGAAGCTGGATATGAGTCAGCAGTGTGCCCTTGTTGCCAAGAAGGCCAATGGCATTTTGGGATGTATAAGTAGGGGCATAGCGAGCAGATCGAGGGACATGATCGTTCCCCTCTATTCGACATTGGTGAGGCCTCATCTGGAGTACTGTGTCCAGTTTTGGGCCCCACACTACAAGAAGGATGTGGATAAATTGGAGAGAGTCCAGCGAAGGGCAACAAAAATGATTAGGGGTCTGGAACACATGAGTTATGAGGAGAGGCTGAGGGAGCTGGGATTGTTTAGCCTGCAGAAGAGAAGAATGAGGGGGGATTTGATAGCTGCTTTCAACTACCTGAAAGGGGGTTCCAAAGAGGATGGCTCTAGACTGTTCTCAATGGTAGCAGATGACAGGACGAGGAGTAATGGTCTCAAGCTGCAGTGGGGGAGGTTTAGATTGGATATTAGGAAAAACTTTTTCACTAAGAGGGTGGTGAAACACTGGAATGCGTTACCTAGGGAGGTGGTAGAATCTCCTTCCTTAGAGGTTTTTAAGGTCAGGCTTGACAAAGCCCTGGCTGGGATGATTTAACTGGGAATTGGTCCTGCTTCGAGCAGGGGGTTGGACTAGATGACCTTCTGGGGTCCCTTCCAACCCTTATATTCTATGATTCTATGATTCTATGACTCTGGCCGCTAGGCCGCACAGCTCTGGTTGCGAGGGCCGCCCTATGGACTCTGGCCGCTAGGCCGCACAGCCCCTGGTTGGGAAGGCCGCCCTATGGACTCTGGCCACTGGGCTGCACAGCCCTGATAGAGAGGGCAGATAGAGTGACTTTGGCTGTTAGGCCACATTACTCTGAGACCAGACGGGTCACACAGACTTGCCCACGGGCCTATAACAACCCGTGCTGCATCCCCAAAATGGACAGGGCATGTATGACCCATGACACACTGTTAAAAAATATTTGCCTTATTTCCAGTCTGAATTGTCTAGCTTCAACTTCCAGCCATGTTATACCTTTCTCTTCTAGAGAATATTTATTAAATATTTGTTCCCCATGGAAATACTTATAGACTATAATCAAGTCACTCATTCTCTTTGTTAATTAAATAGATTGAGCTCCTTAAACCTTTTAGTAATAGACTTGTTTTCTAATCCTATACACATGCTCAGGCCTCTTCTCTGAACCCTCTCAAATTTATTAATATCCTTCTTGAATTGTGGATGCCAGAACTAAACACAGTATTCCAGCAATGGTTGTACCTGTGCCAAATACAGAGGTAAAATAACCTCTCTGCTCCTACTTGAGATTCCCCTTGTTTATGCATCCCAAGATCGCATTAGCCTTTTTGGCCACAGAATCACACTGGGAGCTCATGGTTAGCCCCCACAACCTCCAAACCTTTTACGGAGTCTCTGCTTCCCAGGATAGAGTCCCACATCCTGTAAGTAGGGCCTACCTTCTTTGTACCTAAATGTATACCTTTATATTTAGCCATATTAAAATGCATAGTTTGCTTGCGGCCATCTTACCAAGTCAACCAGAACACTCTGTGTGAGTGACTTGTCCTCTTCATTATTTACTATACCCCCAATTTTTGTCAGTGATGATTTTGTGTTTTCTTCCAAGCCATTAATAAAAAGGTTAAATAATGTAAGACCAAGAACAAATCCCAGCGGGATTTCACTAGAAACACTGTTCAATGATGATTCCCTGTTTACAATTTTGAGACCTTTCCAGATTTTAATCTATTTAATATGCGCCATGTTAATTTTATATCTAGCTAGGTTTTTTAATCAAAATGTTGTGTAGTATCAAGTCAAATGTCTTACAGAAGTCTAAATACGTTATATCAAAACGTTTACCTCGTAATCTCTTCAAAGAAGGTGTCAAGTTAGTTTGTTGGGATCTATTTTCCATAGTCCTTGTTTATTAGCACTAATTATATTACCCTCATTTAAATTCTTTATTAATCGAGTCCCATATCAGCCTCTCCATTATCTAGCCCAGAATTGATGTCAGACTAACCAGCCTACAGCTGGACTCCCTCTCCTTTGGCTTGGACATAGGACTAGGAGAGTAAGTATAAAATGTGTATATTACAAGTTGCATTGTAATATCTAATTAAAACACTGCTAAAACACACCAAACATGTCTACATTAAAAAGGCTTTCTATTTCAACTGACCGTAGTTACTGAGAACGGTTACATTGAACTTTTAAACCTTATCTATTAAATACAGCAAAAAACGTCATTCCCTTTTATTTATGTTCTCCATGCTATTCAAAACTCACTCAAATAGGTGGGTGGCTGATTAATTAATAAACGACAGAATGTATGCCTACTACAATATTTATATAACAGTCAATTAAGACAGCATTGTCTGTGAGCACAGCATATGCCATTTGGCTTCTAAAATGAGTACATCAGAAGCATCCAAATTGCACTGGCAGTTTTGCACATGCTCTGTTTGCCATAGTGAATCCTCATTCACCCATTGAGATTTCTGTTTGTTTAAAGCCAGCATTCTCATTGCTGATGCTGGGTGATCTGCAGTGTCTTTCTCAGGCCTGATCATAGACAGTTTGCCCCTCTTAAGCTAGTGTTTTTTCAAGACCTAGAAGCTCAAATAGGCCATTTCTGGAGAAGTCTTTTTAATAGGGTCTTTAATTAACAGAATATACCATTCTCACTATGTGAGCGACCGTGTCTTTGCCTTGACAACAACCTGCAGCCGTAAAGCGAATTTAATTCTCAAACAAGAAGATTGGCGACAGCTATCATTGCATATATTGTTTACTGTAATATATGGGATTCTTCCCTGGAAACCACGGAGATGGTATTTGCCTGGTCTAACAGTCAATAATGAGAGAGACCACAATGGATTTTAGTACCTCATCGGTGTTTGATCAGCACAAAGGTAAGTCAATTGCTACTAAAATCCCAGCATCCCTGTTGAAATTGTATGGTTTTGGCTGGTAAATCAATGCCTCATATTTTATGGTGGAGGTCTGGTCTAATGTGAATGTCTTATATGTTTATCGTATGTTGTTTCTCTGTGTTTATACAAAAGGGACCTTCTTCCATTAGTGTTAAGGACAGATATTTCTGCCTACTAGTATTGCTTTAAAAATAAAGCAATGATTTCATCAGGAAGAATGACAGCAGTTTTTTAAGGTCAGCTATGAGAGTTGTGTATACAACGGTTGTTACATTAAACTAGAACCAGTTAAAAATGTGGTGTTTGACTTGTACAAAACTAAGTGCCCATTTTCCTAATTAAATTCACCTATTTTGGAATTATAAGATGTAAATAATGAAAGAAATACACACTAACAAGTGATCTTAATTCAGGAACTCTTTAGATGTACTGCGCAAATATTACTATGTCTGAACATAAGATATCTAAAATAAGCCCTAGGGCAATGATAAATTTTCTACACGAATAGGTTGCTATGGAAATATAGATGGATCTTAGTTATCTATTTTGTAGTTAGATTATTTGAATTTTATTTGTTGGGGTGGGGGCTATGCTATATCTAATATAATTTACATCCTTTTTTGCCTAATTCACTAAAGTTCTGTATTCTTTATATTCCCCTTTTTTCACAAAGCAGGAAATTTTCATTGTTTAAACAACTATGTTGCATCAAATCTCTCTGTCTATTTACAAAGCCCCAAAATGACTTATGTGCAATCTTCCCAATCACCAGTATGCATCTGCAAGGTGTGCATGCTGATAAAGCAGAGTTGGCCCCAAAACAAAAGGTTGTGGCTTGCTGCGTATGTGAAAAGGCTAACATCAAAATTCTTCAAAATGCAAGTGGTGCACCAAGAATACTGCTTGTTTAGTCTCTTTAACACATCAGCATCCCATTCTGCTGTTTGTGAATAAATTGATATAAATCAGATATATATGCATCAAATTGCAATGGGAATCAGTGACTGTGCAAAACACAGTTTTGTCACGGTCATTTTCTGGATCCATTTTGATTTGCGTTTTTCTCTTAAAGTCTTCTATAGGATTAGAGCATAAGAACGGCCATACTGGGTCAGACCAAAGGTCCATCTAGCCCACTATCCTGTATTCTGACAGTGGCCAATGCCAGGTGCTCCAGAGGGAATGAACAGGTAATCATCAAGTGATCCTTTTCATAGAATATCATAGAATCATAGAATATCAGGGTTGGAAGGGACCTCAGGAGGTCATCTAGTCCAACCCCCTGCTCAAACCAGGACCAATCCCCAACTAAATCATCCCAGCCAGGGCTTCCTCAAGTCTGGCCTTAACAATATCTAAGGAAGGAGATTCCACCACCTCCCTAGGTAACGCATTCCAGTGTTTCATCACCCTCCTAGTGAAAAAGTTTTTCCTAATATCCAACCTAAACCTCCCCCACTGCAACTTGAGACCATTACTCCTTGTTCTGTCATCAGCTACTACTGAGAACAGTTTAGATCCATCCCCTTTGGAACCCCTTTTCACGTAGTTGAAAGCAGCTATCAAATCCCCCCTCATTCTTCTCTTCTGCAGACTAAACAATCCCAGTTCCCTCAGCCTCTCCTCATAAGTCATGTGTTCCAGTCCCCTAATCATTTTTGTTGCCCTCCGCTGGACTCTTTCCAATTTTTCCACATCCTTCTTGTAGTGTGGGGCCCAAAACTGGACACAGTACTCCAGATGAGGCCTCACCAATGTTGAATAGAGGAGAACGATCACGTCCCTCGATCTGCTGGCAATGCCCCTACGTATACATCCCAAAATGCCATTGGCCTTCTTGGCAACAAGGGCACACTGTTGACTCATATCCAGCTTCTCATCCACCGTAACCCCTAGGTCCTTTTCTGCAGAACTGCTGCTGAGCCATTCGGTCCCTAGTCTGTAGCAGTGCATGGGATTCTTCTGTCCTAAGTGCAGGACTCTGCACTTGTCCTTATTGAACCTCATCAGATTTCTTTTGGCCCAATCCTCCAATTTGTCTAGGTCCCTCTGTATCCTATCCCTACCCTCTAGCATATCTACCACTCCTCCCAGTTTAGTGTCATCTGAAAACTTGCTGAGGATGCAATCCACACCATCCTCCAGATCATTAAAGAAGATATTGAACAAAACCGGCCCCAGGACCGACCCTTGGGGCATTCCACTTGATACCGGATGTCAACTAGACATGGAGCCACTGATCACTACCTGTTGAGCCCGACAATCTAGCCAACTTTCTATCCACCTTATAGTCCATTCATCCAGCCCATACTTCTTTAACTTGCTGGCAAGAATACTGTGGGAGACCGTGTCAAAAGCTTTGCTAAAGTTTGTCGCTTTTCCTGTCACTCATTCCCAGCTTCTGGCAAACAGAGGCTAGGAACACCATCCCTGCCCATCCTGACTAATAGCCAATGATAGACCTATCCTCCATGAATTTATCTGGTTCTTTTTTGAACCCTGTTATAGTCTTGGCCTTCACAACATCCTCTGGCAAAGAGTTCCACAGGTTGACTGTGTGTTGTGTTAAGAAATATTTCATTTTGTTTGTTTTAAACCTGTTGCCCATTAATTTCATTTGGTGACCCCTAGTTCTTTCTTTATGTACTTTCTCCACTCCAGTCATGATTTTATAGACCACAATCATATCCCCCCCTTAGTCATCTCTTTTCCAAGCTGAAAAGTCCCAGTTTTATTAATCTCTCCTCATACAGAAGTTGTTTCATTCCCCTAATATTTTTTGTTGCCCTTTTCTGAACCTTTTCCAATTCCAATATATCTTTTTGAGATGGGGCAACCACATCTGAACGTAGAATTCAAGATGTGGGCATACCACGGATTTATATAGAGGCAATATGATATTTTCTGTCTTATTATCTATTCCTTTCTTAATGATTCCCAACGTCCTGTTCGCTTTTTTGACTATGACTGCACATTGAGTGGATGTTTTCAGAGAACTGTCAACAATGACTCCAAGATCTCTTTCTTGAGTTGTAACAGCTAATTTAGACCCCATCATTTTATAGGTATAGTTGGGATTATGTTTTCCCAGGTATATTACTTTGCATTTATCAACACTGAATTTCATCTGCCATTTTGTTGCCCAGTCACCTAGTTTTGAGAGCTCTTTTGTAGCTTTTTGCAGTCTGCCTGGGACTTAACTAGCTTGAGCAGTTTTGAATCAAAACAGAGATAGAAAAAAACCCATTACTTCATTGTGCTGGCTCTTGCATTTGGTGGGATTCACTCTTCCCACGTAAGCATTCTTGCCAAACTTCGTTATTGGTCATTCTGTAGGCCTGGCTTGACATGAATAATTGGCCATGGGAATAGCCTTATTTTTTGGGAGACAGGATTAGGGAAGTAGATAAATCAGGAGGCTGTACAAGAATATCTGTAGTAGCTAAGATAAGAGGGAACATCATTTACAATGAACAAGATAACAATGGATAAAATAAGCCTGGCATATAAATGAGGTAAAAGTAAATTGTGCATGGACAGAGCGTGCTGCACAGGGACTGGTTCCTACAAAGTAAACAAGCCAGTCCCAAAACGTGTAATGCAAGGTATAGTAAATGCAGTGTAATACGTAAGCGTGGAAGAAGTTTGTTTTGTAACTTTGGAAGTGCGGTATGCCCTGTACTTGCCCCCTACACTTCAGCCTGATTAACTCAAGTGTAGTTTGATTGTATGCTAATAAAGAAACCTCAGTGATTAGGTCTGGGAGCCTACTGAGTGCATAAGTTTTCAGAATTCACCCCAACAGACTCCTGAGTGGAAAAGGTCTCAGAGGCTACCCCAGCGTACTGGTGCCATGACTCAGTGTGACATTCTGTACCTTAATTCGCAAAAAGAAAAGGAGTACTTGTGGCACCTTAGAGACTAACCAATTTATTTGAGCATGAGCTTTCGTGAGCTACAGCTCACTTCATCGGATGCATTAGCTGTAGCTCACGAAAGCTCATGCTCAAATAAATTGGTTAGTCTCTAAGGTGCCACAAGTACTCCTTTTCTTTTTGCGAATACAGACTAACACGGCTGTTCCTCTGAAACCTGTACCTTCATTGTTACCTTACATATAAAGCCAGGTTTCAGAGGAACAGCCGTGTTAGTCTGTATTCGCAAAAAGAAAAGGAGTACTTGTGGCACCTTAGAGACTAACCAATTTATTTGAGCATGAGCTTTCGTGAGCACGTCTTGTAAGGTATCAAGGGAAAGGTTATGATCTGCTGAAAGTCATTTCTCTATCCATATATGTATATCATTAATGCATATGAAGTTATGAGAATTGTGTTGTATGGTTGTCACTAAAACATGCTGTATGTTGGGGAAGAATCAGCCACATATTAGCTCCCCAGAGACAACAGCAAGGAAAGTAACCAACACCCAGGCGGGATGTCAATGAGCCCATCAACAACCATTGTCCAACAAGGGAGCTACAATGCAATGACTCACCTGCATGAGGCCACACCAGAGGAATTGCTCAGCCTTGACTGGAGACTCAGCAATGCCCACCCAGACATGCCTGGACTTGTGTTTTCCAAGCACGTGGATTGAGGGTATAAAACTGAACACAGGGGGCCCAGGCTGGGCCTTTCTCCTTCACTCACCTACGCGGCAAGCAACAAGGAGACTCTGAAGACTCCAACTGAGGGGACTGCCCCAGATTTCAAGGGTGAAATCTGTGTACTATGAACTGCAGTACCCAGTGGGGTGAGAAAAACTGCTTAATCTAGCTGTTGCCAACTCTAATAGGGATGAGAGTTTAGACTGCATGCTTATATTTTATTTTGGTAACCAGCTCTGACTTTTTGCCTATCACTTATAATCTATCTTTTGTAGCCAAGAAGCTTCTTTTACTGTTTATCTTTACCAGTGAGTCTGTATGAAGTGTGTGGCAAAACTGCCCACATTTGCAAAGGCTGGTATATATGCACTTTCCATTGAAGTAGTAGTGAACCAATGAATAAAATTCCATTGCTCGTCTTGGGGGGAGGGGGAGGATTTGGCTGGTGCCTTTCCCTGTGTGATTCCCGAGTGGCTCTGGGATCATTCATGCAAACTAGCCGGGTGTGGGGTCTCTACGTGCGGTTGTGCTGAGTGATAACACCTGGAGGGGTTTGCTGCTGGTCATTAGCAAGGCATTGTGAGAGACAGCCCAGGCTGGAGAGAGTTAAGGGGTCACAGTGGTCCCATGGTCCCAGGCTGCACCCTGGAGATCCCATCACACTCAGATGCTGTAGTCTGGAGCAGGTAGCATATACACCTCACAGCCTAGCATTAAAGGAATGGCACTGGAAGGGTTTAAATATGAACAAGTGGGTACCATGCTGGAGAAGTGGGCTAAATCTAAGGGTGGACCCTCTGGACTCCTCAGTGAAGTATTAGGGGGAGTTTGGAACCAGGTGAAAAAGGAACTCCAGAGAGTGTTATGGGGATGGGGAGACTGCTTGGAAGAGCACAGCAGAGATCCTTTGAATGCCACTGAAATTTCCAATATGGATTAACTGCTTCTGAATATACTAGGGGGTGTAACTTGGATACAGTTGTGTAAAAAAGTAACTACAAGCAAAAACAAGGGGTGGGAAGGGAATACCTAGTAAGTTTTAAAAAGAAATACCGCCTGTCACAAATTTCAATGTAGCAATCAGCTTACTAAAGCTTCAGCTAGCTGAGCCACAGAATTAAAACAAAAAGAAAAGGAGGACTTGTGGCACCTTAGAGACTAACCAATTTATTTGAGCATGAGCTTTCGTGAGCTAAAACAAGGGCTTTAGAGACAGCAGTAAAACAAAACAGTGCAGTTATCAGGGCCCAAGCCAAAATTCTCACTTCTTGGTTGTTTTTTTTTTAAAAAAAACTTGTTCAAAGCTTAAATATAAAAATTGCAGTTTAAAAAAGTAAAAAAATTAAATGGTCTTTGCTTACAATTTGCAATTTACAAAAGGAAAATGTCAGGTGTGTAAAACCATTTTAAAGAAGAAGAAAGTTCAAAGGTTCAGCTGACAAGGCTAAGCCAAGCAAAATTAAAAGATTTATTTGGTCTCTCTTACTAAATTGTTTACAACGTAGCAAGCGACCACAAAATTTAACAAAACATCTCTTTAATAGGTGTGCTAATAATAACACCACATGTAGTATGTGGGCAATA